AGAATACCTACCCCCGGGATTGTGGGAGGGCTGAGAAGACTCGGGGCATCCTCAGAACAGCGCCTCACTCATAGGCTCAGCATTGTTACTAATCCCTTTCAATATGCTGAGCATTTATTGAGTGTCACCATTTGGCCGGCAGCTTATAAGGGGCAGAGAAGACCAAGTCCTGATTCACATACCCAGGGCTTCACTTAAGGGCTGTGAGAGGAGGCCACAGGAAGCAATCACAAACACAACTACTGTAAACCAGTTAGCATTACGTGGTCCTACTGTGAGCCAGGTTTTAGTCACTTTTCTCAGGACCTCTGCTGGTAGGTGTAATCTTTATGGATGTGGTGGGAACAATGAGTTGCTTGAGGCTACCCACCCTAGAATTGTGTGCTGGGCACATGACTTCCTTTAAAAAAGTGTACTATGGAAAGACAGTAAAAGAGTAACTTTATGGTAGAGAAACCTGATGATTACTACCTTAACAGGTGATCAAGTTCAGCCTAAACGATAAATTGTTGATAGTATGCACCCTTGCTATGATGTGATGATAATGACACTTTACCTCTATGATCTTCTTCTCCAAAACCCACACCCCCAGTCTAAGTATGAGAAAAGCATCAGATAAATTCCAGTAGAAGGGCATCCTATAAGATACCTGACCAGTTTTCCTCAAAATTGTCAAGGTCATCCAAAACAAGTAGTCTGAGAAACAGTCACAGCCAGAGGAGCCTAAGGAGACATGATAACTACATGTAATATGGTATCCCAGATGGGATTATGGAACAGAAAAGACATTAGGTAAAAACTAAGGAAATCTGGGAGGAAAAAAAAATGGCGTAGATGATAGAGGCTCTGTTCATCCCTCTGGCGACCAAATCAAAGTTGTGACGGAAACAAGCAGCAGCAGCAAGGTAAAATCGCCTGGGTTGAACAAGCCATACAACTAGGAAAAATATCACCCCACAACAGCAAAAGGTAGGACGAAGCGAGGACACAGGGCTGCCTGGTCCAGAGTGGCTGAGTGGGACACAGGCTGCGGCAGCAGCAGACGCCTCTTAAAGGGGCTGTGTCCAGGAGTGGATTTTCGCGGTGACAGACCTGCTCACTATGAGCACCAGTGCTGATTTGGCTGTGCACAGAGGGCACCAAGGGCTTACAGTGTGGGACACATTGTCGGAGTGAGGGCCAAGGTGAGACTCACCCGGTACGGAAGTGCCGGCGGTACCTACTGTTCTCTGTTGAGCCCTCTCCACTACCAGTGCGCTGGACGCAGCGCTGCCATAGCCGAGATGTCATCAAACTGGATAATAGAGGTCGCTCTGCCCAGAGGAGTCCCTGAAACCCCGCTTCCCCCAACTCGTGGCCCCACCCAAGCCACATCCGGATGTATCCTCAGCGAGTTAGATGCTCCTTGTTGAGTAGCGCCTAGACTCACACTGAAGCCAGCTGGCCTCGGTTTCTGATGTGGCCTTTTGAGGCAACTATAAGCACAGCATCTGTGGATTGTTTGCTGAATCTTAACAGGTGTCCCCGTAGGGGCAGAAGCTTGGGCTAAACTTGGCCTGCAGCTGAACCCCTCTCAGGACTGTGCCACTGGACACCTACTTCACAAATCCATACTAATAAGACCAGGAGACTTAAGAGCTTTGCTTAGTACATAGAAATAGACACAGAAAGGCAGCCAAAATGAGAGAACAGAACAGAGATCCAGATATAATGGAGTCAAGTAATCTAATAGATGCAGAGTTCAAAACACTGTTTATAAAGATGCTCAATGAACTTTTGGGAAGTGTAGAGAACTTCAACAAAGAGATTAAAAAAAAAACCACATAAAAATGGACATGGAAATTATAAAAAGGAACCAGTCTGAAATGAAGAACACATCATCTCAGAAGTATATTAAATGGAATAAACAAAGGAATAAACAAATAAAGAAAAAGATCAAATGCCTTATCTAAAGGATGGGAAAGCCAAGGACACGCAATCAAAACGGCAAGAGATAAGATGCCAAGACTATAAAAATAATTTAAGGAGCATATGGGACACTATTAAGGGTCCTAATATCCGTCTGATTGCGTAACTGAAGAAAATCAAGATGTTGAACAGCTGTTTAAAGAAATAATAATGGGAAACTTCCCTAACCTGGTGAAGGAAATGGACATAAAACCCCAGGAAGCTCAGAGAAGTCCCAAAATCAGGGATCCAAAGAGGCTCACACCAAGACACATCATAATTAAAATGCCAAAGTTTAAATACAAAGAAAGAATATTAAAAGCAGCAAGAGAAAAACAGATAATTACTTATAAGAGAACACCCACAAGACTGGCAGCTGATTTCTCAGAAGAAACTATGTAGGACAGAAGGGCTTGGCAAAAAATATTTGACAGAATGAAGACTCAGGATCTACAACCAAAAATACTTTATCCAGCAAAGGTATCATTCAGACTTGAAGGACAGATAAAGAGCTTCCCAGACAAAAGTAAGCTAAAGGAATTTATCGCCACCAAGCCAATATTACAGGAAATGTTGGAGGGACTTCTTTAAGAAGAAAAAACAGGTATCAAAAACAGGAATAAAGAATAGTAACAACTACATACCTATCAGTAAGTACCATAAATGGAAAAGAATTAAGTGCTCCAACTAAAAGATAGGGTGGCTGAAAGGATAAGAAAACAAGACCCCTGCATATGAAAAGGAAGGGAATGGAAAAAGATATTGCTTTGATGGACCTAGAAGGTATTTAAGTAAGACAGAGAAAGATAAACACTATATGATTTCACTTATATGCGGAATTTAAGGAATAAAAAGAACAAACTAATCAAAAACAGACTCACAAATATATTGGACAATTTGGTGATGGACAGAGGGGAGGAGGATTTGGGGAACTGGGAGAATGGAGTGAAGGGTTAAAGAAGTACAAATTAGTAGCTGATGGATGGTCACAGGGATGGGGAGCACAGCATAGGGAATGCAGTTAGCATTAATACATTGGCTAGGTTGAGGATCAGGGGAGGGAAGGAGCAATTGAGGGGATCATTTTATGAACTGTATAGATGTCTAACCAAGGTACTGTATACTTGAAACTAATTTAAATAAATTTTTTTAAAAAACAGGAAATCTGAGTAACTATGGACTGTAGTTGATATTAATGTATCAATATTGGTTAATTAATTATAACAATATACTATAATAATGTAAGAGGTAACAGGGAAGGCTGTGTGAGTGTGTTTCTGTTTGTGTTTGGGTAGGGGGCTACACGAGAACTCTCTTTACTGCCTACTCAATTTTTCTGTGACTGAAACTGTCTTAAAAATAGTCTAATAAATAAACATGGAGACAGAATGCATTGGATTATAACTTCTGAACAGAAAGGTGTAAAGATAGTAAAGAAATAAATGAGGAAGGCTGTTCTTTATAGCAGCACCAGGACTAATAAATGTGAAGCGCATGAAAAAGTTAGAAAGAAAAAAATTCAACAATTTGTAAATATCGGTTGCAGCAAGAATCATCAGTACAGGCTGAATCTTAAAGTAGAGTTTAATTGGGAGCAAGATATTTATTTGGTTTCAAAGTATCTTCTCACGGATTGTTCATTAGTTGCAAGGAGGAAAATACACAGTGGAGAAACAGAGTAACACCTTGAGGGCGATAAAGATACATATCACCTTATAATGGAAAGACATCCTGCGCCTCTGGGTGTAATATCCTGAGGACACACTTGAATTTAATCCGGAGGAAACGTCAGACAAAGGTCAATGTGGGAACTTGCATTTGAGGAAGGTTGTTTCGGAGGGGATAGATTGCTTTGCTGAGCCCTTTTGGTCATAAAGCTGTTAAATACTCAAATGCAAATATTCCTGAAGGTGATTTTAACTGTTGTACTTATAAACTGAAACGCTACCGTTAACAGAAAGATTTACGAAGAAATCGGCAGTTCCCCTTGCAGGACGGGAAAGAATGCTGGGCAGGGGCGGCTCCAGGCAAAGGGGACCCTGGCCTGAAGATTACCAGTTGTTCGGTTCGTATTTATTCTTTATTTAACGAACACAGCACTTGTTACAAGGCGCGGTTCTAAGCGCTTTTCACATATTCTTTTTAACGCGAAAGCTCAGTGATTGGTCTTTATTCCCCAAACAAAACACGAACAGGAGACTACACGGTTTCCTCACGAGCACTCTTATCTGTTACCGAGGCTCTGCTGCGATCATGCTCTCCTCCAACGGAAGAATATGAGCCTGCAATTACTGGGCGGTTTTCGTAAAAACGTGGACGACCCTACTCGGCGATTTCAAAGGTCGAGTCCCCTTTGCAAAGCCTGATCCATTGTCCGTTAAAAAGCCTTAAAAGCTTAAAAGCACTGAGAGCCACTCATGTCTATTTCCGGGGTGCCAGGCACTCGCGTTGTCTTTCCCTTTAGGGGTGAACCCCGGAGCACATCACTGTCTTTTTCGGCCAAAACTAGTGTTTCTAAATGACCGACCCGCTCCAGGTCTGGGAACTCAGTCCGGGCTGTGTTGTCAAAGTACTGCGTCTATGACGCAGTGGATTCTGGGAGGCCCAGTCGCGGTCCGCAGAGGCGTCCGGACCGACTTGACGCCGGACGTCAGTTCCCACAATACTTGGAGCGAGCGCGCGCTCCCTTCTGGGTAACCGGGAGCTGTCCGCCATCTTGCGCGCTGAGGTGCGGCCCGACGCCTGACTCTTTAGGGCTGGGCTCTGAGTCCGTCCTGGTCTCTGCTTTAGGGTAGTGTCTCCGCGTCTCCTTTAGCTTCTTGGAGGTCTGTGTCTTGCCAGAAGGTTTTATTGGGAGGTGAAGGTCAATGCGGAGCTGTCGGGTAAGGTGAGTAAACACCTTTGTGTGTGTATGTGCGTATCGGGAGCGGGGGAGTGGGGGCGCCGTTTCGGATTTCTTTCTCTCGCCGGCGCTCGGCCGGACCCTTCCGTTGGCCGTAACGGAATTCGCAGCAGAACCCGAACTCGTTTCCGGTGGGACGGAGACAGCGGGGCGCACGTTCCCCGGCTGCCCTGCGGGGAGGTCGGGAGGCCGTGGGGTCGGGCTATGGGCAGGCCGCGCGACGACCCCGCAGCCTTTGCTGTTCCTCGGGACTTTAACGAGGCTCGAATGTGGGGACGGGAAGTGACAGGTGGCCAAGGAGGGCGCTGTTTCCGGGCATTCGGCGTTCTTCCTTGGCCTCTCTCGTCCGCCTCTTCGGCTCTGTCCTCCTCTCGTGTTAGAGGAACACCGGGGAGCGGGCCGAGCGGAGGGCGACAGGGTGAAGCAAGCTCTTGGATTGTGCTCTTGAAGGTCCGTCGGAATTTTCAAGGGAAGCAGAGTTTATCTTCGACATAGACCAGTCACTTGGAAAAGATGAGCGCTTTGACTTTGGGAGCTGCCAGAATTTCTTTTCTAAATGTAATATGCTTGCGTCATTTTCAGTGCTGTCGAAGTTTCTTACCTTTTAAATGAATGGAAATCACTTTTTGCACTATTCACGGGAGTGGAGCCCATAACTGGCGTTCCAGTTAATCTGCCGTTTGATTACTAAGGAGGGTGTGGCTGGCGGGCAGTTTTGGGAGCTAGATCCGCTTACTCTCTATGTACATGGTGGTTTTAAATAGGAAGACTTTTAGAATGCATTTTATTGTAGCCAGTTTGGATATGTGTCAGTTTGGTTGGCAGATTTACTCTCTTTCTTAGTACACAATTGTGTGTCTGTGTCATCAAAACGTATATTGTTTTAATTTTTCAAACTTACTAGGTCTTTAAGTTCTCTAAATTCAGAATTGCATCATTTAGGTTAAAGGTGTGATATATCTTTTTTAAAAAACGATATTTACTTTCAAAGAGATCCCTCTCAATTAATTGTTATAGTAATAACAATAACATACTTAAGTAGTAAGTGATTATAAAGTTACAATTTTCTTATTTTTGTATTTTGGGAAGATGTTACCATTTAATGCTCATACCACAAATTTAAATCTTTTTCTACTTGCTTGTTGCTGAGGAAACTTTTCTTAAGGTTTTTAAAATATTAGCTATTAATTACATGATTTCTTTACTCCTCAGATGCCTTATGGTGAAGTTGAAGCTAAATCCTTGGGACATGGGAAAGAACTAACAAGTGAACCGTGCTATAAAAAATTAAAGTCAACTGAAGGGGCTTTTGTTTTTCCTCATCATGGTAGTTCTAATTTTCACAGAATCCAAGAGAAAACTGGAAATGATTGGGTTGTCGCTGATGTCAGAGGACATAATTATCAGCAGGAGGACAAAACCAAAACTAAAACTACAGATTTGCTGAAACCTGTGCATGATGAGATCCCCCGTAATAGACCAGATGTTACTGGGTCCATTGATTCTCAAGTTTTACAGGCTGCAAGTCGTCAGTTGGTATCCACAGATGATGAGATCTATAGTACCAGTAAAGCATTTATAGGACCCATCTACAAACCCCCTGAGAAAAGGAAATGTACTGAAAGGAGGAATCAAGCAGATACTATCAGTGGTGTAGGTGGCAAAGGAGGAAGAGAAGAGAAACAGAAATTTAACGCCAAAAAATCAGAGATTGACAATGAATTATTCCAATTTTACAAAGAAATTGAAGAGCTTGAAAATGAAAAAGATGATTTGGAAGTCAGTTGTAAGGACCCTGAGCCTCCTGAGGAACAATTTATTCCATATTTTCATGGCCATAATAATGATCTGATAAAATATGAGGAAGAAAAGAAAAGAGATCTTAGTAATGCTCTTCAGTCACATCGTGATTATCAACAGCATGTGGAGAATGAGCTAGGCAAACATCCTCATAGTGGACAAGTAATACCTTCATTTTGTGACGAGTTATTTACTTCCTTCAGGCCTGAATGGCAACCATTGCATTCTTTTATAGTACCCCGAGGTCCTCCTCTTCCCAGTTCTAACTGTCATTTAAATATTCAAAGATTCAGTGTTCCACCAAGTCCACTGTCAAATATTTTTCATGCCCAAGATGGCTCTCAGATTCGAAATGGGTGTTATGTAAATAGTTATGTTCCTTGGAATTGTTTGACTTTTGATCAGAACCGGGAATATACTGACTGTAGTGAGACTATCAGTAGTGATGATCCCTACAGAAATGGCTGCAGCGTGCAAGGTGGATATGTGAATAATGGTTTCTGTGAAACCAGCGAAGGATGCTGGAAGGGTCCCTCCATGGACAAACATAATAGAACAGACAGGTTTATGAACCAGCAGTTTCAAGAGGAAAAGTTAAAATTGCAGAAATTACTTATTCTTTTAAGAGGCTTGCCTGGTTCTGGGAAAACAACATTGTCTCGGTAAGTAAAGGATACCAAGCGAATACTTGTTAATTCATTACTTAAAAATTGTGATAGTTGTAATCAACAACACATGCTTTCATGTTTCTAGTAAAACTTTGTTGTACTTGACAATGGCATCTCACTAAATATTTTAAAAGATGTTTTCTAATGAAAGGAGAATTGGCATATTTATATTAAAAATCTCCTAAGGGCTTTAAAATAGATACACCATGTATAATTATGATCGTGGTAAAAGCAAATGCTATTTGAGAACTGCTGGCCTTCACTTTTAAGTCAGCTATTTAAGAAGAGTTGGAAGAGTTAGAAGATTCAGGCTTTGACTCAGTTATTTCACTTCATGACTGTGGACAAATTTTGCTATGTGTTAATAGAATGAGTAATATTTATTTATTTTTTTAGATTTATTGTGAGAAGCAAATGAGGTAGCCCAAGGAAAGGAATTTTGAGGGTGATTGAAGCACTACCCTGTCCATACTGTTGACTGGCAGAGGGAATCCTTTTTTTGGTGTCTTTAAAGAGTTTGAAGTGAACGATATCTGAAGTAATGGAGTTGGAATTGGTGATGTTTTATCCTAAATTCTGGTTTTGTTTACATTTTTTAAAAAAGAATGTTGATGCGCTGGAATACATTTGTGCAGTTGTGAAAAGTAGCACAAAGAAAATTCAATTTTTTTTGCAATTTATGTAAAATGATTTAGGATTTATGCCAAATAAGGGGGAAAGAAAATTTTTGTGTTATCTTTGGATGAAAATAAATTCCAAGGAACGATTTTGTAAATGTTTTATATTTATTTGTGAGATAACCTAAACAATCTAAACATAGGGTTTCTTCTGAAGCAAGAAATTTAGGGAAAAATTAAATATATAGACATTTCAAACTAGATTGTAAACTGTGATCTTTATACATGAATTGAAATTTAAGTCTTTGCATTTTAATTCCTCTTTAATGAAGATTTTGCGAAAAGGATGAAATTTCAACTCTAGAAAGGATAGAAATTAAGAGTGAAATTGTCACGAACAGGAGCAATCTTGTAGATTTAAAATATCAGAGAAAAGTATTAGTTTAGATTTGGAAATTGGATCAAGGGATTTTCTAGCTAAGGATCTTGACTAACATTTAGTACAGAATAAACATAAGAAAGGTAGATTAGGTTTGGGACAAATATTTTAGTATGTTAAAATGGAAGGTGAATAAAGTAGTAGTAATTAAGTATTCCAGGGAGACTTAGTTGTAGTGGGAGATGACTGATGATTATATATAATATGTATATTTCTTCATTGAGTGATTAGCTATAAGAATGGAAGTTAGAGTAGCAATTACCATTTGTGTCATGATTTACAGAGTACTTTCATATATAAAAATCTTGTAAGGTGCGTTGCATTCTTTTCATTTTGTGGAAGAAGCCGAGGCTGAAGAGGAGAAATTCAGCTTAAGGGACTTGAGAGAAGTTCCAAAAACGGATAAAAGATCAAACGAGGGACATAAATGACCATGTATTTCTTCCCTGCTCCTTCACTCTGCCATCTGTTGTGTGCACAGCTCTGTACATGATTCCTGACTTGCAAGGACCTTGGTTAAGGAAGCAGGAGTATTTCTTTTAGGTCAGCAATTTTTGAAGTAGAATTGTATGTGTGGGATTGGATATAAAGCCACATATTCTTTGGTGAGGAATAGCTTAATGAGCTTGAAAATGAACTTGGAAGAAAAAAAGTAAAGATTTGGTAGATCTGAGTTGAGTTGATTTGGGGCACTAAGTTAAAAGATAGCGTTGTTTAGTATTGCTCTCTGGTAATGAATCTGGGCGTTCAAGTTCATGTAACTTGGGGTAGTAATCGTCCCCTTCTTCCTAAGGTTAGTCCTTACCCACCTCTCCATCTTCATAGCCGTCTGCACTTGGGCTACTACCCGCCCTCCACTGCAGGAGACATAATAACTTGTCCATTCGTCGTTCTCAGGACTTTGCTTATTCAAAGGTTCCTTAAGTGCCACTGCTTTTTGAGGTGTTTGGCTTCTCTTAGCCCTCAGTAATCCTTCTGAACTTAGGTGGTATTTGCCTTTATCACTCTTTGCATTTAGCATAAGCTACACAATACAGCGTTATCTTTTTATTTATTTATAACCTACCCAAGCCAATTTGGTTATAAGTGGCTGAGGCTTAGCTGTTTACCCATAAGTTCGCTAACAGATTTTAATGGAATCAATATTAGATTAATTTCTAACACAAGTATAGACTTTGAATATTTATGAGTAAGCTAGTACAAAACAGTTAATACAACCTTTGTTAGTATGATAAAGTGCCAACTCTTTGTCCTTTTAGGAAAACTAACAGCACTTTGATGAAAGGTTCATGTGAGGCAGAATTCAGCGATGTTTTAGAGGTAGAATTTTGTTACCATTGTGGTTGGCAGCAGCCAAACAGAATTCTCTGACTCTGTGGATGGACACAGGACCAGTTAGGGATCAAGCCTTGAGTGTCATTCGTAGGGGTGTGGGATATAGATTTTGCTAGATTCTTATACCTTGTTTATGCAAGGGGGAGGAGTGAATCTAAAATATTTTAGCTAATCCACATTTCATACAGATTTCACCAACAAAAGAGTATATTTTCAGAAATAGGTCACTAATTTCATATATATGTCTGGAGTTGATCAGAGACAAAAGATAGTTGAGGCACTTATCAGAGAGGAGAGAAGATGCTAGCTACATTGCTGGCTTGAAGATGGAGGAAGGGACCATGAGCCAAAGGTATTCAGGTGGCCCTTTGAAGCTGGAAAGGGCAAGTAAACATTCACCTTTAGGGCCTCCAGGTGGAATGCCAGCCTGCACCCACCTTGATTTTAGCCCAGTAAAACTGATATCGGACTTCTGGCCTTCAGAACTGTAAGATCATAAATCTGTATTGTTTTAAGTCAGCAAGTTTGTGGTAATTTGTTACAGCAGTGTAGGAAACTACTACACTTATAGTTTAAAGAGGAATGGGAAGAGATTCCCCTCCCTCCCCACCACCCCCACCGGCTTTTGGAGATCTCAATTTAAACTCCAGAGGAAAAAATTGAGTTTTTATGAATTTCTCTTAATTCAAGGAACTGCCAGGGAAAGTGGTCTTGGGCTAGGGGTATGCAAGGCTCTTCAGTACATGAGAAGGCAAAGGGTTCATGAAGTCTTAGTTTTACTCAGATCTCTATTTTTAAATGCATTTGCATGTATTAGAGAAAATAACGCATAGTTCTTAAGAAATTTCAAAAAATAAACCATGGAAATTAACTTACACTGTAAGCCATTTTGGGAATTGGGTTCCCAAAACACAGGGCTTAAGGAACATGATTTACTTGTTCCTTAAGTGAAAAATTATAAGCACAAAGTGCAGTAATTTATGGCTATGTAACAAATTACCTAAAAATGAGTCATTAAAGCAACAAACATTTATTGTCTCACAGTTTCTGAAAGACAGTTGTCTGGATTTCTTTGGTTCGAGGTCTCTGACAGTGCTGTGGTCAAGATATTGGCTAAGGCTGTGTTCTGGTCTGAAGGCTTGCCTTGGGGAGGATCTGCTTTGAACTCAGTTCCTTGTGAGCTTTTGGAGTGAGGGCCTTGCTGGTGGTAGGCTGTAGACCCTTCAATTCTCTGCTACTTGTACCTCTCTCGACTCAGAACGTGATGAGAGAAAGCTAGCCAGTGCTGAGCCCAAGACAGAAGCTACTTTTTTCTGTAACCTTCCATCCCCTCTGCCATATTCTGTTAGAAGCTAGTCTCTAAGTCCAACTCACACTCAAGGAGAGGAGATGATACACTGGCTTACAGTGGTTCCCTGGCTCCTGAATAACAGGGATCATTGTAAGCTGTTGGTTTTGTCTCTCCCGCCACTATTTGGATGACTTTGGTGGCCTGATTTCTGAAATTATTTTCTTTTCTGAATTTGTTTAATATCAAATTAGCGTGGTTGCTGTGAGAATTAAATGAGGTCATAGATATAAAAAATGCTTGCCACATAGGTTTTCAAAAAGATAACTGTTTTGAAAAGATACAAATCAAAGGGCCAGTTTGGCCCACATCTGACTTTTTTAAATTAGATACTTGATTTTTCAGAGTCTTAAATTTTGACAGCCTGAAAATCCATTTTAGTATCTTGACTTGTGAGAATTCTGATAGAAATTGACTATAAGAATTTTGAAAATACTAATATTCTTAAATAATTCATTTTTTGTTCAGATGGTTGGCATGACATCTGATATATCCAGATTGATAAAGGTATTTTAAAAATATAAGTCCCCAAAATAAAGCTTCATAGTTCACGATAATTCAAGGAATTTTAAAAAGATGCATGAGCAGTCTTGGTAGAAAAAAGTCTCTCCAAACTAAAATAATTTGCTATAATTATGATTTATATATTTGAGATGAACTTCAATAGAGGTTTATTCATGCTTGGTGTTGACTTGATTTAATGATGTAAATTGATTTGCCGCTCCTATCTCCCCCTTTTTCTTTTTTTATTTGGGAGAGGTTAAAACAGTTCTTGGATACAAAAGCCGCTGTACTCTAATAGCATGGTTTTATTAACATCTGAAAAGTCACCTGCTAAAAGTAATAGAACAGAAAAAAATGAAACATAGGATATCTAGGAGAGATGGTATCTGTTCTGGTACTGTTAAATATATTTATGCATCACAGAGTTGATTATGATCAAAATCTTTTTAGATGAGTGAGCTTAGGTTTGGAGTGCTAATGTTGTGGCATTTTTATATTCTAGGTTATACATATAAGCAAATAAGATGCCAAACATGTTAGATGGATATATTTTGAAAAAATTATGGCTGCCTAAAAAAGAAATCCAATACTAGTTTAAATGTTTAAGTATCATCCTAAAGAAACAACTCAAACCATTTACTTTCATTTGTTTTGTTGGAGGTAATTTGAATCATAATTCTATAAATGGAAATGGATATTTAAAAATTTTTAATCTTGATATATGTGATTTTATTTATTATAAGCTGAGGAAAGGAGAGATGTTTATCGTAATAGTTGAAATCCTTTTATTATTTTTATTAGGAAGTACTATGCTTGAATCATCCCAGGACAACATTCTTTTACTTTCAATCCCTTCTACCACCTTCCACTCCCCTCCTGCCTCGAAAAATTTTAGAACCATATCCATCCATTTGCCTGATGGTTGAGGGAGAGAAAAGAAACAACAAAATACTGTTGTTACTGTTGGATCGAAATCATTCTCTCAATGTGTTTTCCCCTTTTCTTAGCAAACCCCTTCTTTTTCAAGAGTCACTAGTGGGAATTCTCTGACAATCTGAACACTTATTAATCTCACAGCTTAGAAATTAAGGTGATATTGTAAGAACAAAGCTTAATTGCCGTTGACTTGTTCTGAGAGTGTCTTTTGTTTGGTGTTTAATAATTAATTTAATTTAGTAATTGAATCTCTTAAAAATTTAAAGTTTGATTATACTGTGGAAGATCACAGACTGTTTCACTGCCTTAAGCCTCAAGCCAGTTCTGACTCCCACTTGCGGGTTTTATGTTTGTGCTTCAGGGAAATGAGTTTATCAGAGCTATTTTGGATTAAATACAGTTTTCCCCCAGATGAGTTGCTTACTTAGGCTTACTTGCCTTTTAGGTTACCTTTTGCGCTGAATTTAGGCATTTTTAGACACCAAATACAAATGCACTAAAGTTAAAGCATGGATAATAGTTGACACAATTTTGAGATATTTCTAAAAGTTGAAATATAAATACCACTTAAAAAAATTTTCGGTAGTAGCTGTAATTGTGTAGGTTTAAGTGTAAAATGATATTTGAAATCCGAAAGCTTTTAAGGTTCAGCTCCTCTGCTGTTGTTTTCATTTAATAAGCTTTCCTTTGTGGGTTATTTCTGATAGCAATAGATTTTATAAATGGCACTTTATGATTTCTTTTATTAACAGAGTTCTGCTTGGTCAGAGTCGTGATGGCATTGTGTTCAGCACTGATGACTATTTCCACCATCAAGATGGGTACAGGTATAATGTTAATCAACTTGGTGATGCCCATGACTGGAACCAGAACAGAGGTTTGTTTTGGGCCAGGTCTCCCGGGATAGAATATTTGACTAGGAGTCAGAGGACCTGGGTTTTTAATCTCAACTTCACCTATACTAGCCGAACGACTTTCACAAGCCATTCGAAAGCTTTGAGACTCGGTTTTTTCATGTTAGAAGCAGTGAGAATTATACTTGTGTTATCTGATCAAGGTTGTGAAAATCAGAGACTCTAGATAGACTGTTTTGTAAACTGTAAATAATGTACCAGTATAAGCTGGTAAAATAGAGATTTGGGATATTTTGGTAGGCTTTATTTTATATCTCTTGAATAAATTCAGAAAACTCTGATACTGTATTTCTGTATTCCCAAAAGTGATTTTTGTAAGAGTAATGTTAGTATTTTCTAAGGCTTAATATAATACCTGTGAATATTGAAAACTTTTATCATTGATATTACCCTATGAAAAATCTATTTAATGAATTTTTTATTGGCACATGGGTCAGTTTCTTTTTACCTTGAAATAGTGGTTCTTAACCTTGTTGCACATTTGAATCATTTAGGGACCTTTTTAAAAAAACTTATGCCTGAGTCAGCCCCAGTGATTCTGGTTTAGTTGGTCTGGAGTGGATCTAAGCATTGATATTTTTTTGAAAATTACCCAGATATTCTAATGTTGTTGTCAGGTTGAAAACTTGATCTAGAACTATGTAGGTAAATGCATATGGTATAAGTTAATTTCTTTTTTTAAAGATGAAGAATGCATTGATGATTAAACAGATTAATTTATTATGAAAAACTTTAAGTGTAGAGAGATTACAATGAACTCCATATTCTCATCACTCAAAATTATCAGTTATCTAGATATTGCCATATCGGCTTTTTCCTTTTTTGTTTCCACCTCTCCCTTTTTTTAATTTGCCAAAGTATTTTAAAACAAATTCTAGACACACTTTATGTATTTCAAATTAACCACCTTTTTACTTAAAAAAAAACCAACAATTTTTTTGACATGTAATACCCAGTCTGTAATTGAGTTTTCCTTGTCGTCTTAACTATTTCTTTACAGTTGTTTTATTTGAGTCAGGATCTGAACAAGGTCCTTACAGTACCTTGTTTTTATGTTTCTTTTAATTATGTTAATCTATAGCAATTCCCCCTCTTTTGACCCTCATACCAAGTTCGTTAACTTGTTACAGAAACTTGGTGGTTTGTCCTATAAAATGTCCTATATCCAGCAATTGTCTATTTGCTTCCTTGTGGTAACCATTTAACTTGTCTTTTTTCTCCTGTATTGCCTTAAATAGAAGTTAACTCTAGGCTGAAGGCTTTGTCAGGTTCAACTTATTTTTTTGGTAAGCAAAGATCTGGTAGTCCCATTTTTAGTGATGCTAAGATTGATCAGTAGCTTCAGAGGGACAGCCTGCTTCCTTCATTATCAAGTTCCCTATAAATCTTATATCTAATGGTTTAATCCAACAGTGAGTTATTGTTTCCTGAATCAGTTATTTCATTAAGGGTTGCAAAATGGTGATTTTCTAGGTCTGTTCTTTCTGTGTTTAGTAGCTGAACTTGTTCTGCAATGAGAACTTCCTCTCAACTACAACTAGCAAGTAGAGTCACCCTATAGTACAAGTACAGTTTGTACGAGAAAAATGGGATAAATATCTTTTCTTTCTAATTTTCAATTTTTAGAGTAAGGAATTTCAGTGAGGATATTTATTAGTAAAAAGTGTCACTCTGTCACAGTTCGTGGTTTCACAGGAAAGTTTAAACGTCAAATAAGTTTGATTGTAAGACTATTTCTCATATTGTTTCTATGACATTCGAGGATTTCTCTAAATATATTAGTGGCATAAAAATATCTCAAAAAAAATTCCCCAAAATATTAATTGATTTTTATTTTTTTACATGCCACAAAACGTTATTGCTCAGATCAAACAGTGGTGGTATTGCAATTCCAGTGTTTGGCGTTATTGGCATAAAGTTAAGAGAATAGGAGTCAGAGCCCTTTGGCGGACTGAGAAGCCTGTTTGTAGGGTGTTTTTCTGTTTCCAAAACTAGTCTAGAACATTTCATTAAAAAGTTCATGCTTGTGAATTTCATTGCTGAACAAAATATTGGTGTCTAGATAAACATCTAGTTTTATTAGTGGTATAAAAATATGGACTTTTTCAGGTAATTTTTACTTTTTTCAAGGTAATATAACTGGCAGTCATTAGACATTTTGAAAATTATAAGCACGACTTATTTAGAGTGGAATTTCTCGACAGGTATTTATTGAATACTTTTAAATGCTAGGAACCATACTAGTAATGTCTGTCTGCCTCATCTTTATTATAAGAAGACTCTAAATTCATCTTAGGCTGTTTATAAATTGAAAACACCTCCAAGGTGTTCTTTTTTGTTCTTCCGTTTTCTTTCTTTCTTTTTTTTTTTTTTTAATGTAGCTCTGAGGTAGACTTTTAGTTTTCGGCTGACAGGACCTCCACGCCCATGCTCATCCCAGCACCTTTTATCCTGCCTGAGCTGGCAGCCTAGTCTAAAAGGTGCCATGGCCAGAGGGGTTGGGACTCACTTCCCATTCTAGGCTGGAGGAGTGAGGGGCTTGGGGACACTCCCCTCCAATAAATCTTTGCCAGCAAGAGGCCATGACTCACCTCAACCCCAACTCCTGCATCCCGGTGGGAGGTGGCAGTTTCTATCTCCAGCTCTCCACACCTGAGAGGGGCACATCCAGACAGGGCAGGACACAGGCCCCTACCTCCAATAATGGTAGCTGCCAACACTGGCCCCTGCCCAAGTCACAGTCCCAGCCCCCATCACAGGGTAGCATAGGGCTCTCCTCCTCCTTGGTCCTCAGCAACTGAGGGAGCCCTCCACACCAGGCAGGACAGAGGCCAAGCCGGAAGCAGCAGCTGCGGTGGGGAAGGAGTAGGCACTGAGACTGGTTGGCTGCTGGCCGGTCATGGGCCCCGGGCTTTCCGGACGTCAGGGGAAGCGGTCTGTACAAGCTCTGGGGCTGGCCACTAGGTGGGCGTACTTCTGTCCTAAGATACTTGTCCAAGGTGTTTTTATTCTCTTTGAGTATGGTGGTAAATTTGTTTAAGAAAGTGATGCTCATTATTTGCGTATTCAAACATTGTTTCCTTAGGACCTCTGTTCTCCTGGAGTGTACTGGGATGTAGTATTGGATGATTATTCATGGAAAGACGGCAGTCTCCCCATTACTTGGTTAATAAATTCCTCTTCTAGAACATAACTCCTGGAGGTGTAAGCCTAACTATCCGATATTAGGAGAATTGCTTTAATAAGTTTTTTTTTTTAATGAAAGATTTAATCGCTCTTTATGATTGGGGGTGGAGCAGTGGGAGATGATAGCATCTTGGTATCCTGTTTACTATCCACATTCTAACTTTCTCTTAGTATTTAGAGACATCTGCTCCCAGATATCTATTTCACCATAGTCATTACTACTTAAACTGACTTACCTTTAGAATTCTGTCTGCCCTGGACCTCTGTATAAATGTTTTCATTATGTAGAACTTAGTGGTTTGAATTGAAATCTCAAGAAAACTTCCACATAATTGCATTTTTGCCTCAGCCTTTTACATTTATTATGGGTTTTTAATTATATGTCTTTTTTTTTTTTTTTTTTAGGCATGGCAACCCTTGGTTGACCTCACAGATTGCAAGGACCTTGTCAGCTTACAATCCCTTATTTTTTTATTTTTTACGCCTACAGCACCTAGTCTTCCTAGGTGGTCTCCCATCCAAGTACTAACCAGGCCCAACCCTGCTTAGCTTCCGAGATCAGACAAGGTCGGGCTTCTTCAGGGTGGCATGGCTATAGACTTCTTGTCTTTTTTAACATAAGTATTTCTTATTTCAAATTCTTATTTGTAATTATAAGACATAGGAAAATACAGATAAGCATAAAATAAAAATATTTTCACCACTTACAGATCACCACTTTTGATTTCTCCTAGTAACTCTTCACAGATGTTTATATTTTGAACAGAATAAGAGCATACTTATGTATTGTCTTGCCACTTGCCATTTTCAGTTAACAAATCTCCATTTTTCCATGTCAGTAAATGTTTACCTCTTTTTATACTCAGACCATATTCAAATGTAACTTGTTCCTGTATTGCCTGTAAATGAAAGTTAGTTCTAGACAAAAGCTTCATTAGCTGTAAGTTCATGAAAATGTTTCCCCAAGATGTTCACTACAGTTAGAGAAGACTCGCTGCAGGTGGTTGCATCAACCAGATAGTTCCCTTTTAATGGAGTGGAGCCCTTTCCGTGGCACTGACTCGAGAGATTGCACAGTATGGTTTTAAGTACAGAGGTGTGGAAAGTCTCTTAATAATGAATGTTTAAATTTTGTGTATTTTAACCTAATAGCTATCTTTTTTTGTTTTGTTTTTTAAATTTATTTTATATTTCAGCAAAACAAGCTATCAATCAGGGGAGATCTCCAGTTATAATAGACAACACTAATACACAAGCTTGGGAAATGAAACCATATGTGGAAATGGTAAATATGAGATGAGAAAGTTTTTATGTTTTTTTCTCGTCAATTTTTTTAAATTCTGGAATTTTTGTTAACCTTGATCTTTATTAAAACGTTTGTCTTTGTTTTCTGAAGACATGTGTTTGCTTAGATTTTAAAAATTGGGAACGGTGCTTATTAAGGAATATGCTCATTTTGTTAGTTTTGCCTGGACTTGATAGTAATTGGAATTTGTCCAGTTAAGTGGTCTTAAAATTTTTATAAACTATATTATTTTAAAAGTAAAATTTTTCTTGACTGAGCAAATTTAGAAGTATTGTCTAAATAAAATTTATATCTTGTCTGTCTTCTTTTTACTTTAAGAAGTGTTCTCTGGGTTTTTGTTTTCTTCCTTTCCTTTGTGTAGGCCATAGGAAAAGGATACAGAGTAGAGTTTCATGAACCTGAAACTTGGTGGAAATTTGATCCTGAAGAATTAGAAAAGTAAGGCACTCTAATTTATTTTGAATCCTTATCTTTTTTCTTTTCTCTTGTACGTGATCAACGTCTTTACTAGCTTTGCTTGTCATATCTTTACTACTTGTGAATAGGGACTGCTACTTCTTCCTTTCTGTCTAGAGGGACATTGCCTTTAATTCAGTGATTTTGACGTGCCTTGCCTTGTTAAATTTTATTAAATTTTTCTTGTTAGGCGTGTTTGTTACTATTATGTCAAGTCCTACATTGTTTCAACTGAATGCTAGTGGAGATCTAGGAAACTATTGAGGGAAAAATTAGGACTTTCCCCTCTGGTCTTTAGTTAGGCCACTCCTCTGCATTGCTCTTCTAACTTCCCCACCTTCTTGTTTTAGACCCCATCACATTATACCTAGTGCTTTCATCTTGAGCCCTCTTTTCTATCTTTACTACTACAGTGCCTGTTCCCATAACCAAGATCCTTGGCATCAGTGTGTTTTGGAATTCTGTGGGTTTTCTTTTTTTGATTTTAGAAAGATAATAGAATGTATATACCTAATCCTAACACCCCTAGCAGAGTTTGGGCAGCATATCATAATCCTCAAATATCTTATTATTTCTGCAGTAAATTATGACTAAGTAGTCTACATAGATAAGAAAGACTACATAATCTCTTATCAGTTCTGAGTAGATCATGCTGCTGCCAAATGAATACAGGTCTGGTTAGATTTTGCTGCCTTTTCAGTCAGCAAGAGACTGAAGTTTTAGGTTTGTGGTGAGAGGATGTGGTCTTATATTACTTTCAGCCTTGCTCTTCCCTTTGTCTTCACCTTCATCTCTTTCCCCCGACAGCACTGGTTTTCCTGGCTAGGACTCTTTTTTCCTTCACTTTTACCCACCTTGCCCCCACCTTTGTTAACAATTTTGAGATATAATTCACATACTTTACAGTTTACCCATTAAAAGTATACAGTACAGAACAGTGGTTTTCAGTAAATTCATAGAGATGAGCAACCATCACCTCTTTTTTTAAAAAAGCTTTTTTTTTTTTCACCTCCCGCCTCAGTTTGCCCTCTTTCAGCTTAAAGCTATTATTCTATGTAGCATCCAACTAATAATTCTTTCCCCCTTGCCTTTTATTGCGTTGGTTATCTTACTTTCTCTTTCTGAACATATATGAACAGATAAATTGAAAGATTTACTAATATCAAGTATTGTTTGCCTGCCTTTCCGTGTATTGCACCTCAGGTGGAAGAGACAGAAGTTTAAATACTAAAGATATTTGGGTTATGCTGGACAAATGAATTCATGAAATTGTTATATAGTTAGGCTTTGTTTACATTTGAGGTACTTAAAATTGATTATAATTCTTAATAAAAATTGACTTTACTAAATAAAGTCAATTTTGATTATAATTCTTAATAAAAATTGACTTTACTAAATAAAGTCAGTTTAACTGATGTCTAGGATAGTTTGACTTTAAAGAATTGATTGAATCATCAATTCTTTACTAAATAAAGTCAATTTTGATTATAATTCTTAATAAAAATTGACTTTACTAAATAAAGTCAGTTTAACTGATGTCTAGGATAGTTTGACTTTAAAGAATTGATTGAATCATCAAATTTGACATCTTGTGGATTTAGTCATATTTTGCTAATTTTCAACTTGAGATCTCTTTTTTTGGTCTTCTGTCTTCTTTCTCTTTTGCTTTTTCGTCTCATCTTGAACACAAGCATCAATAGTTTTGAAAAGTAAACATTTCTTCTGTAATGAATTAGCACTAGTAAATCTTGCACTGTAACAGTAAATGAAAAATGTATTCCTGTATGTTTTGCCAAGTCCATATCAGGGCACAGAAAACTACTAGGGTGAAATAAATTGTAAAGTTCTTTGAAGGTCAAGAACAACTTTAAAACCACTTTTTGCTGTCATAATTAAACTCTCTAAAATGTACATGAAATATAGACATACAGCTTAAATAGCATATAAGGCAAATATTCATTCAGCCATTACCCGTGTCACGGGAACAGTATCAACACCTCAGAAGTTCTTTGAATTCCCTTTCCCAGTAACAACTCTTTGGTAATTACTTCCTTGCTTTTTTTTAAAGCATTTTTTTTTTTCTAAAATATCTTTTCCCTTAACACCATAGATTTTTTTTTTAACTTTATATAAAAAAAGCTGTAATATATATTCATTATGTCTAGTTTCTTTCACTTAACATTATGTGAGATATGTTCAAATCGTTGTAATAATTTTGTGTTGATAATAAGTTTTAAAAATGTAGTAGGAAATGTCTGAAAATAATTTTTAAAAAGTGATAAATATTTGATATTTGATTTTTGGAGGTCTTACAGGTCCATTCAGTTCTTCTGTAATTCTCAAAACTGTGTCCCATAATCTTTGATTTTTTTTATTAATAAATACGGGATATTAACTCAGTTCAGTGAATCAGTGTTTCTGTGTGAATAAAGGTGTATTCAGATAACATTTTATTCTGATTTATGATATCATTAAACCTTTTTAAATACTGTTAAAAACTTTGAGAGAACCAGTATAATTTTTTTGGTATAAAATGTTGGTAAATTCGGTGTATCTTCTATATTTATTTGCAAAATGTGATTTAGAGTCTGCACTCTGTTACTCTAAAATAGCTTAATCCCTGAGCCTATACATCCTTAAAAAAGAATTAAACTCCTTTTCTTTTTTGGTAGGAGGAATAAACACGGTGTGTCTCGAAAGAAGATTGCTCAGATGTTGGATCGTTATGAATATCAAATGTCCATCTCTATTGTAATGAATTCAGTGGAACCGGGGCATAGAAGCACACTCAGGCCTCCTTTGGAGGGGACACAGAGGTGGGGAGGCTCTCTGGGCTCACATAATCAAGTCTGTGCCACGCATAACCATTAGTTGGCTGTTTTCAGCTAACACTTTTGTTGCTTGCACTTGAAAAAATTAGTGAGCCTTCTTTCTTGAAGTTTAAATAGTTTCAAGTAAAAAAAGACTACATTGACTCACAGAGGGTGTTCCCAGCAAGTTATTTAAATTCTAAAGTGTAAATAAAAATTATATAAAATTGTATTTTAAATGTTTTTATAATCTGTTGTAATACCTTTGGTTATTATGAAGACACCTGACTGGGTAAGAAGTAGGATGTTTTTCTACAATTGAATTTTGAACTTATTTTATCTGTTTTCTATATAGTGTTGAATAGTTTTATAGTTCATGCCTAAATCTAACTTTTCATAAAACTTAAGTATTTTTCCTTAAGTACCTTAAATATGCAGGAAATACTATTCATAGGCACCATGGTTGATTCTCCTGTTCGTTATATAGGTAACATTATGTTTCTGCAAATTCATCTGTGTGACAGAAATATTTTTAAGGTATAATTAGCATATCAGTTAAAATCGTCCATCAAATGCCATAGGTGTATTAGTCACCTGGGAGTTTTCTCCATAATATACATATTCATAATATATACATATTCATCACCTTTCTCAAACCATCACCCCTACCCTGCTCCCGCCCCCCCAACACACACATACTCTCTCCAGTTCTGGAATGGACGGAGAAATCACTATATATTCAGGAAGAGCTCCTCAGGCATTTCTGATATGTATCATTTTTTTCTATTTAAAAGCACAGTATAATTCTAATACAAAAAAAAAATTGGAGAACTCCTTAGCTTTAATTATAAGGAGACTTGTCCTGTAGGATATTTTATTTATCTTGGTTTTAATTTTTCTGTAGAGCCAATCATTATCTCACTGGATAGTTTTCTTTGTTAGAGTGTGCTCCTTCACTTAAAATTTAAAAACTAAGATAAAATTATTTCAGAGATCTTGTAATTCATCGTAATCTTTGCTTTGATTTACTCTTTTAGGGGAAAAAAAATACCAGCTAATTACATAAAATTTTAAAAAAATATCTATGATCCTTCATGTTTTGCATGATAGTATCCCATGGCCTTTAAACCTTCTCCTAAACCAGCCCATCCTGAGTCCCATAATCTTTCTTTGTATGTTGTTTTAAAGCTTTTTGCTGTTCTTTTCCACTTTAGCTAAAATGTCCTCCCATATCTTTATGTTATTTTTTAAGTTGCAGAGCTCAAAGCTGTACAGTGCTCTTCACAACTGCCTTTAGTGAGATAAGAATATTATTTCCATTTATTTGTAATTTTCAGTGCTGTTTACACTTGAGTGGGTATTACCTTGCTTTATGTTGTTTAACACATATGTATGTTTGTATGTATTTGTTCATCTTAACTAAATATGATGTAGTAGGAATATACTAACTCATGTTTCGTGTGTAAATGTATATATATATTTATACATACACACATTTCCTTCATCCACTATTTTCATATATTCTTTCTTTTCAGAGTAATACTTCTTGGTTATTTGGATTTGCATGTCCCAATTTTACTTTGTAAATTAATTTTACATAATTTTACTTTGTAAATTAGCACATTTTGAAAAAAGCACAGAGGAATTTAATTTAGGGACAGGTGTAACTGTTAGATATATACTGTGTGTCTTTTTCTCCCATTTGTCTTTATAAAACTTTGTTTAGCACTAGTAGTACTATATATTTATAGTTTTTGAATAATGGGCTCTTGATTAGTCAAATTTATTTTAAGGAAGTAGAAAATTACCTTTGGAACATACAAATTATGAGGAACCATGTTTGTGTTAGATAGTAAGTCAAATAAATTTCCAGATTTTATTACAGATTCAGCTTCATTTCCTAGTACTTCTGAGTACTAAATAATAATCAGAAAGCATTAACCAATTACTGATTTTTTAAAAAGTTATAAAAACTTTTTCCCTGCTTTTCGAGGCAGGGAAATTCAATTCTGAAAGACTTTCCATTTTTTTTAAAGACAAATTAATGGTTCCCCAAGAATTCTGGCGAATTTTAATTTTTACATTTTGAACAGTAACAGAATGGAGGAATGAATATGCAGTAAAAGATACCCCAAATCACTGTTATGTCATTTCTTGATGTTAAAAATTAAAGATTTTTTTATCAAAATTTTTTCTACTAGTCTCATATACATGTAATTCAAATATACTCTTAATGGATTAGCCACCAGATGGCTATCTGACATTCTGAGTTGGTCTCCATCACAAAGAATAAACTGGGCATTAGTCACCATATTTAAAATGAAATACATTTTAGTTACATGCAGTCCTGTTTCTAGTTTGGTTCAGTAAGATAAATTGTTTTTTCATTGGCTTGGTGTAAAAATCGCTTTTTGATAAGCAAATTTATAATTTTTTGTATGTCATAATCCTGTTAGTAAAAATACTTGTAATGAAGTTGAACTTTTGATATTGCTTTTTAAATAGATCATCTTTATTTTCAGTATTCACCTTTCTAAAAGAAAATGTTAGCTTTTTAATGTTTTATGTCTTTTAAAATAAGATTTTTTACAACAGATTGGATTATATTGTTGGAATGATAGGGTGGATATAAGTATTTGAAGTTTGCTTATCTCTTGTCTAATACAGATCATAGTATTTTCCAGTTTTATATATAGATAAGTTTTGAAGAGTTCATAATTTCAAAGGATGTAAAATATTTGTTCTGACCAAATTCGAGTTTCTTGTATTGCAGAAATGTCTATTTTCTGAGCCTGGTTTTCTGTGTATTTATAAAGAAAATTGGTGGTGGTGTCTTTGGAAAAATGTTCAAGAAATGTGGTTGTTAATATATTATTAGTGCCTTGACCAGATAGGTTTGCTAGCCTCTATTGAAGTTTTATGTAGTATTCGAACATGAATGCAGTAACTGAGAATTCCGTTATTAGGGATGAAGTTTTCTTACGTGTGTTTTTGTTTTAACATCTGCAACCCATATAAATAGAGTAACATCTGTTAGTCTAGAATCATAACGAAATGTTAGTTTTGTTACAGTGACTATTTAGAATAAATATTTGGAGGCAGTGGAGAGAGCAGATTGAATTAGTGGTTTTTAGAGTTAAGTTTTATGGGTTACAATTTGTTAAATTTTTTCTGTTAGAATCATTAGCTATAATTGTCACAGGGAAAGGAGTGTTTAAGGAATTAATAATCTCTTTTTTTTGTGATGGTGTACTTTCTCTTTACCAATTAAATAAGATTATTATTTCAATTTTTATTTTATTCTTAAAGTTAAGGTACTACTTGATCTTTGTATGTATACTGGATTTTCTCCTTAAAAGTATGTTTAAGGTGGTAAGAAGTAGTAAATTTATTGAAATGGATTCTGAAATAGAAGTAATTAGTGATTGTCTTGTGTCTTTTTTACTGTTTTTTACTTTGCAAAGCAACATTTAAATTAGTTCAGTGGATTCATATTGTCAAGTGTTTTAAGTCTAAAACATTTTCACTTTTGCATGGTTTGTAAATTTTAGTGCAAAACTTGAGTAAATTAGGATTTTTACAACTAAGTTCAGAGAACTTGTAATAGAATGGCTATAATTTACATTCATTATCTTTAGTTAGATTACACTGAATGGCATAACTTTTGTAATAGAATATACATGTATGTAAGCTTAATATTGAATATATTTCCTATGGAAATTCATAATACATTGTCACTGTCAAATTATGCACAGAAACTAGGGGAAAGAGAAGCACAAATAACTGTAAAGAGATCCTCAAGAGTAGGTAGTTATTTTCGAAGCTAAGGCTGTTGGAAGGTTTTGACTTTTTGCTACATTTAAAGGTCTGTTATTTAGATTTGAAATCATCTTATTTTCTTCCCTTTCCTCCTTACAAATTTGGTTCTCTGAATGATAACCCTGTTACATTCCAGGTGTGATAATTGCAATAATTACATATTATAGTACACTTTACAGAGTCTAGTAACTTCAGTAAGCTGTCTTACATTTAAATATGAGAAATAGAGATTATTTTATCTAGCATGGACACACTGTAGTCTGACTCCTAATCTTAGAACTAGACACAAGCATTATATACCTACTTTGGTGAGTAACTGAAGACTCTATCTAGGAGTATTGTCCAGTTAATATTTTCATGTATTTTTTAAATTGAACTTTTTTGGTAAATGGGGAGATCGAGAACTTTTGAGATGAGCTGTTGGTCTTTGGTCTCAACTTTATTAGTACCTAAGGAATAAAAGTAAGAATAATCTGTTCATTCATGGTTAAATTCGTGTTCAAGTTCAATAGCGTCCACAAAAATACACTTTATTTGGATAGTTTTCTGTTTTTGCAATTTTAACTTCTCAGATAGGACATATAAAATTAAAGTTTTGCACTTGAGGTTAGTTCACCTAAAACTCGTAGTTATAATCATGGAACTCTGTTACTGTCTCTTCAGTTGTAATTCAGAACTCTTCAGGTTTTTTTAGTATGATAGATGATAGAAAATGATAGAAAATTTGATTTTGGGAAAGATTTGTGGGTTCTTCCTATTCTTAAGTACTTTTGGGTTCTTTTTCTGTCTTAATATTAGAAACCATGTTTCTTTTATAGTCTTTCTGTGTATCTTTTCTTTTTCTTCTATCCATTTTCTACTCAGCTATCCTGTGTAACCTCATGACATTTTTAATGAAGATGATGGGATGGTAAGTGACTGACAGAAGGAAGGTAATTTCTTTTCTCCTGTTTCCACTGAACTCATGTTTCTTATGAACCTTATTTAACCATGTTACACTTACAGACCTTTGTAGTTAGTTTCCTAACCCTGTGCTTTAGGTAGAACTCAGATACAAAAAAATACTTGGAAAGATTTATAAAAGGCCATCACTGTGTTACTCATTTGTTAGGACTCCCATAAACGTGGCATAGTACTTAGATGTATGGATTTGAGAAAAATTCTTTTTCAACACTTAGGCTTCATGATTGATGGTAGACTAAGTTGATAAATAGTTGGAAATTCACTATTATAGAATTCACTGTTACGTCATGATTCTTGAATCTGCACCACTTAAAAGAACTGAATGATTTTGAAGGAAAGTTGGTAGCTTTTGAGTTCAGCTTCTACAGTGGGTCTTCATATTCTACAGTGTTGCTATAGGAAGTTACTAGCAACAAGCCTTAATTTAATAATATTCATTTAGGTATTCATTAAATGCCTGTCAGTTGGCAGGCCTTATTTTAACTGTGATTGTTACAGTCTGCAATTTTTCATAACAATCTATAAGGAGCTTATGAAGAGAAAATTTTTAAGAGGTTAAGTCATTTATCCAACATAGTTTCTCTAGAGAGAGATGTAGCTGGGATTAAAATCAGCATCACACGTATCCCTTGTATCCCATTTTATCTTTTATACTACGTTGTCATTTTTTAATTTAGTTTTTTTTTTCAAGGTAGGAAAAATTCCAGTGAAGAGTTGAATGTGTCTTTACTGTGCCTTTGATTTATAGGGTTAGAAAGTGTTTTGATTTATCAATGAAGCTGAGTGAAGAAACCTGTAAGTGGCCATTTATTTAGAATGCTATTTTTAAAAGTCAAGACTGAAAGTAGACACATTTATACAATTTAATGTTTAAATGATTTCTACAAAAATAAACATTGATATAATTGATAATCATGTTTCAGCGATCTTTTCAATTGAATTTTTACATATGCTGTTGTGCTTTGATGTTTAAAATTTAATAGCTTCTGATTTTAATTAGTATTTAAAATGCGTAATATTCAATAAATGGATTGTTAAATTATATAAGCTTTTGCTGATTAATTTTGAGACAGTATTTCCTAAAATAGATCACAACTATTTTTAAGTGGTTTTAATTAATTTTCCTTTTACTGTCCACTTAAGTGCTAATAGTAGATGTCATGGAAATTGTTTTCTCAATTTCTGAAGAAGGGGTTCTTTCTTTTGTTTATGTTGTTTAAATTAATTTTTCAAAATTAAAGAACTGTAACGAGCCATTTAAGTTTGCAACAATGAATTAATAGGTTTTGGATTAATGTGTTGAATTAATTACCTTTTACAAAAAAACCTACAGATGAAGAATTCTTACTGTTGACTATTTGCCTTTTTTTGTTTTAGCTAACTTAAAAAATGGACTAGATATTGATTTTTCTTCATTTCCTAAGGGTAGTTTATGGGGTTTTTTCTTTGTTTCTAAACGGGAAATCAGAGGTGGAATTTTTGTTAGAAAAAGGAAGATTTTATGAAAGAAGAAATAGCACTGGTTTCATGATTAAGGTAGTTTTTAGTTCAGGAAACTAGAAAGCCGTACATTATGGGATTGAGGTTATTGGAGTATAGTACAATTGTAACACTGGCTAAGATGTAGTTAAAACATTCCTAATATAAGTAAATTGAAGTATTTATAGGAAGTGTGATTGGAGGTCTGGGCTAGATATTTTGAATTAAAAAGTGAGCAAAATTTAAATCCAAGGACTGATAGGGAAGAAATTGTTAAGGCTACAAGGATAGTATGTATTGAGTTATTTGCTCAGGCTAAGTAACTTCAGTTTAACTTTTTTTTAGTCAGTTTGTTGTCCTACTTGGAATACTTTTCAGAATTTTTGTAGCACAATTTCTGCGGAAAGAACACATTACTGTCAGGGTGTGACCATCAAGGTTGTACCCCAGTTTGTATCCATCCCCTTTTCTCCAATTTCAGTAGAGAGAGTAGCCCTCCCATCCCAGGCTAGTGCCTTCGCCTGTACTCTGGATTGCATCGTGTACCTTCTCAGGATTCTTTATATGTTATCACTTATTTTTCTCTCTGTCGCTTTAATCTTGCCTGCCTTTTTCAGTCAGTCCACATTTAAACACAACTAAGTATCTCAAAGTGTCTTTTTTGACACCACTCATTCATAGCCAGGCTTCTCTACAGGACTGTCTACACCCATTGTCTTTTTCCCTCTACTCTCCAAATTCAGCCCACTCCATTTTAGCTTCTGCCCCTGTCATTCCACTAGATTTTAAGGTTTCCAGAATATTCCTCTTTGTTGAGCATCCTTCCGTCCTCATATGACTACTCACCAAGCATTTGACTCTAGATCACATTTTTCCTTCAAGGACTTTTCCTCAGTATGGTTTCTGTTCATGTCTCTGTGGATACTTCCATGTCCCCTTTGCTGCTTTCTCTTCTTGCTCTTTGCTTTCCTATGAGATTTCATCTTTTCTCACCTGGGCATAAGCGTCTCTCCATTCACATCTTTGCCATCCTATAATTTTATTCGCAGAGCAACTAGAGACCTCTACAGTTTTCCATTGCTTCTTGCTCAAACTGCATAATCTGGTCCTTGGCCTCTGCCCTGACCCCCCAGCACTTTCAGCTGTCTTCATCCACTGCCTTCTGTTTAACTGCTCTTTTTGTTCAGACAAGCTAGGTTTGATCTTTCTTTGAGCACTAACTCTCTTCCTGGAATAGTGTTCTCTTCCCGTGCCTGGCGTTTACTCAACGTTCAGATCGCCCCTCCATGTCACTGCTAGAGAGGGGCCTTCCCTGACTGTTCAGACTGACGTAAAGCAGCCCCACCCTTTCACGTCGGCCTGTTTTGTTTTCATCATAGTACTTAGTAGTTGAAGTTATTTAATACTGATTTGTTGTGGGTCTTCCTGAATTAGCATGTAAGTTCCATGAGAACTTGTTTGTTTATAGCTACATCCACAGAGTCTAAACCCCTGCCTGTGGTACAGTAGGAACTCATTAAGCTGAGGGTTTTATACCCACTGCTGCTATTGTTAACACTACCGACCTCAGATGTATCTTCTCAGACCTGTCCTCCTGAACTCAAGCCTGTATCCTTAACTGCCTACCCGACATTTCTTTTAAGCCTGGAAAATTGAACCTGGGACTTTGCCCTCCTGTCTCCTGGGCTCTAGGATTTCCTCGCCCAGTGGATGGCTCTATCATCTATTTCCACGAGTTGACAACTTGGGATTCATCTTTGGTGCTTCCTGCCCCTTCGTGGTCAACCCACCAACTGGGTCTATGGATTTTCCCACTTAAATATCGTTTGAGTGTCTTTCTCCATTTTTGACTGCCCTCTTTCTAGTTTAAATTATCATCTCTTACTGAGACTGGGGCTTCCACATCAACACTTGCTCTGCTCTAATCCCTTTTCTCCATGGTGTACATGTAGAAAAGTGCGTGATTATAAGTGCATAGCGAGTTTTCACCAAGTGCACACATCGGTGTAACCAGCCCTGTGGTGGCTCCCCCATGCCCAGGTGATCTTTGTAAGATGAAATGCGATCACGCACAATGCCTTGGGGTACCTTCCCACAGCTGTTAGGCTCAAGACTGGAAGCTGTGATGTGTCATCCAAGACCCGGGTCCATGGTGACCCCTCCCT